GACCAGACCCCCACCACGAGCCCCTTCTCCCCTGCCCCCCAAACCCAATTCCCCCCTCCCGTGTCCTTTCCCCAGAAACTGGCCCCACAGAGTCCTTCTCCCTGCCCCCCCTCTCGCCGACCCCCCTCCGTGTCCTCTCCAGACAGACCCCACAGAGCCCTTCTCCTGCCCTCCTCTGTCCCCAAACCGACCCCCTCTGTGTCCCCTCCCCAGACACTGACCCCACAGACCCCTTCTCCCTGCCCCCCTCTGCCCCCAAACTGAACCCCCTCCGTACCCCCTTCACAGATACTGACCCCAGAGCCCTTCTCCCTGCCCCCCCATTGCCCCCCAACCGCCCCCTCCCCGGACACTGACCCCATTCTGCCCCCAGCAGCGGCCCCGCTGCTCACACCGCCCCCCGGCCCCAGGCAGGCGTCAGGACGGCACCTTCGATGCGCTGCTGCTGGGGCCGGGCGCTCGCCAGCTCGCCGGGGCCCCGCTCCGCCGCTCTCCGCTGCGCCATGGCCCCGCGCTGCCAAGAGCCGGACACCCGGCGATGAACCACAGGCCCAGCCAGGCGAGCCCAGGCCTCCCCAGCACTAAGAGCCGCGAGAGGAGGCGGGACCCGTCGCTCCCATCACCCCACCAAGGCCCCACACGGCGCATGCCCGCCCGAACCGCCGGGCTCGCTTGGGCCTGCAGGGAGAGTGCTCCGCGTTTAACTGGTAAATACGGTAACGCCAAGCAGGGTTTGCGTTTTTAACCTGTTAATTACGACAAACACCTAACTGTGGTGACACTAAATCAAGACTCTGTTCAACCATGTAAATACGGTAATTCCCAAGGGGGACTAGGTGCCCAATCAATATATGCTGTAAAACTGAGGGAGAGTTGCATGTTTCAGCTTATGCTAATGCCCAATCATGGGTGCGTTTAGTCCATTAAATACGGCAGCACACATCCAGATTTCACTAAAAAGCAACAGAGGGTCCTGTGGCACCTTTGAGACTAACACAAGTACTTGCATCTGAAGAAATGAGGTTCTTACCCACGAAAGCTTATGCTCCCAGTACTTCTGTTAGTCTCAAAGGTGCCACAGGACCCTCTGTTGCTTTTTACAGATTCAGACTAACACGGCTACCCCTCTGATACCAGATTTCACTGTTTCCCGCTTCCCAACATTAAAACAGTAAAGCTTAGATCAGTGCGCGTTTAATGCTTAACCCAATAAATAATCTAAAACAGGGTAAACTGAGTTAGGTCTTCCTGATTAACCCATTAAACATGGTTTAAACCTCAAGGTGAGACTTCAATATATATGGTAATGTCCAGCTAGAATTGCGTGTTTTATTGAGTATATATGGTAGCCTGTTTAGCCTATTGAATATAACAGTAAGGCAGGGCTGTGTGTCTAGCGCAATAAATACGATCATGCAGTTAAGTATGGTAATACTCAGCTGAGGCTGAATGTTTAACCGCTATACTTGGTAACACACTCAACCAGAGCTCATTGTGTTTTAACCCAGTAAATACAGTAATGCAGAGATGGAGTCAGTAAATATGGGAATACAGGGCCTCCATTAACAATGTGGGTAATTAACCACTGGAACAACTTACCAAAGCTGGTGGTAGATTCTCCTTCACTGGCAATTTTTAAATCTAGATTTCTAAAAGTTGTGCTCCTAGGGTCAGTCAGGAATTACTTTGAATATATACTCAGGCCTGAGTTATACAGGAGGTCAGAGTGTTGTAGATGATCTAAATAGTCCCTTCTGGCCTTTAAACCAAAAGCCTAAATCTCACAGTCTCAACCTGCTCATTTTGGGTAGGGAACAGTGCCCTTTCCAAGTGTGCTACTAGCCACGTCACACAGCTCACTGAAAGAGTAAGACTTCTTGTTCCCATAACTATAGAAGACATAGATCACCATTTAAATACCTTTTAGCCTAGGGGAAGATGCCCTGAGTGGAGAGTCAGGAAACCATTACTTAAAATCTCACTTCTATGCATTGCTGTCTATTTTTCTATGTATTTCATAATCATTAATAGCCTAACTAAACTTGGAGGCAGCAAGTATCATTCCTTCATTTTACAAGTAGTTGATTGAGAGGTTGCACAAAATGGCTTCTGACAGATTTGGGACTAGAACCCAGGTTTCTACTATGGTAGACCTAAATCTCTGTCATACTACCTTTCAGGCTTGAACATCCCAAATCTATGGCTTTAGCTATTTGTTTGTACCTCTAATCATAATCCACATTCCCATCTCAGAGCCAGGAGTAGAACCCAGGAATGTGAAGCCCCAACATTCCACTGCTTTTGAGCAAATAGTTGTATAAACCACTGGTAAAGGGAATGTCACATCTTCATGGAGGGCTGACAAATAACGGTTATTCCTTTAGATCAAATGATAGATGCCTTTGCTGCAGTACACGCAATCCAGAATTCAAACCAATGGAGGAGGGGGTCCTTAAGCTTGTGTATGATGGAATTTCTGTTTCTCCCTTTTTTCTTTTTTCTTCCTTTTCTAAAAATCTGGTTTATTAAATTAACATAAGAAAACATCATTAACAACCCATTTCATAGTTAAAAAACATTATATTCTGTCAATTATGATGTGACACACATTAGCCAAGTGTTCCATTTTTTTGGTCATTTGTCACCTATGTTGCTTACTGATATAAGCAGAGTCAGGATGAGCTCTACCCTGACATCTGGTGGTGAATTATGGCGAGTGTGGAAGAGAACTCCAGGGGCTGATCTTGTTTGCATAGGCACACCCACCCGCCTGGCATGAGACAATAGCAACTGAAAGTGGTTACTTTGGCTGGTGTGGGATCCCCAGTTTCTCTGTTATTGGGGCAGGAAGAATAAAGTTTGGTTACCCTGATTCTGTGAATCAAGGTCAGTGGAACTGTTGTATGACAGAAAGACTCACCATTAACTAAGTAGCACTCGCTTGACAAAGGGCATGAGTTACAAAACCTAGTGAATAAGGAATGAATGCTTGTCTAGTATGGGTGTTTTTTGTGAGTTTTTAACACTAATTGTACCTTCTTCTCTCTCTCTTCACTGTTGAATGTCAGAGCTAACTTTGATTCCATTAGAAATCTAATTACAGGCTGCTGAGCTGAAGTTACTTTGAGCCACTAGTGCATCAGCATTGGGGCTCCCCTACTACTAGCTGAAATCATAAAAGAGCTAAAGTTACTAAGAGCTGAGATTACTGAGTGCTGTGTTAACTAGGGGGGGGAACCTGAAGCTATAGTGCTAAGTGGCTGGCAGAGCAGTTTGCTGGGATGGCTGGAGGAGCAGTTAGCAGAGCAGAACCTTGCAGGGACGGTTGGAGTGGCCCAAGGAACGGCAAGCTGAGCGGAGTAGAGCCGTTTGTGGGGACAGCTGGAGTGGCTCACAGGTCGGTGAGCAGCGTGGAGCAGCTGGTAGAGCAGAGCAGTTTGTGGGACGTCAGGAGCGGCTCACGGGACAGCTTGTGGAGTGGAGTGGCTCATGGTGAAGGCTGCAGCGG